GCCTTTCTGCAAATCAATGTGAACTTATAAATTTTCATGGGTATAGGTTACAAACGAGTATTGCAGAAAATAATATATTGATTGAATAAGTATTTTCAGGTTTTTTCTCTTCGCAACAGACATGTCAAGTACGGTACATAAGTAGTTGTCAATCAGTTCACAGGGCCGCATGCATGGCACCCATAGCAAAATACCGACAGATGCGATATCCTGCAGCAGCCACCCGCACACGTGATGCAGCCAACCGAAACCACGTACTGCGAATGTTCCTACGTTGGACCGTCCGTTCCCTTCCTTGCCCCAATCCCCCCACCCTCCACATACGACCAAAACTCGTCTTTGTGGTCATGGAGGCCATGTGCAACAGCGACTACTTGTCAAATGGCCCACCACGTGGTCTCGAGTACGATGTTCGCAAGGAACGAAGGGGAGTAACCCAAACGCAATGCATGTTGATGGATTCACTACGTAGTACTCTGCCACGTACACTCGCAATACTGTTGCCCCCCCTTCCGTCAGAAGGTATTCTGCGACATTGCCGAAAAATTGCTATTCGTTCTGACCAGTTTCGTCATACAAAATCCGATAATTTGGTGGAATACGGGTGACGCAATGCATCGCGTGTATCAAAATTTCGTATAAAAATTCATGATTTTGTGTATTTTTTCTGATTTTGTTTCGTCAACACTTACTTTCAAAATGAATAAACATTTGTTGTCAGAGGAATGCCCATGTTGTCCCGCCATCGCAAAGATCCTTCGCATGGCTTTCCTCAGGTTTGACGGCCAGGTGGCGGTGGTGACGGGGGCGGGCGGTGGCCTCGGACAGGAGTGGGCCAGAGCGCTATACGCTCGCGGCGCGACTTGTGTGCTTGTCGACATTGACCCGCGTGTCCTGCAGCTCGTGAAACCCGCTGTGACATCGGACGCAAAGTGGGAATGCGTCGTGGCAAACTGCGCCAACGAAAAGTCCGGCCGGCAAGTGATCGAAAACGTGTTGACGACTCATGGACGAGTCGACATTCTGATCCACGCATCCACACAAGTCCAAGACGCAGCGTTCCGCAAGATGACGCGGTCGCAATGGGACGCCGTCCTGGAGAACGATCTCACGTCCGCGTTCACCATGACCCGCGCCGTGTGGTCCAGCATGCGGCAGCAAAACTACGGTCGCATCCTCCTTTGCACGAGCGCGAGCGGCCTCTACGGCAACTTTGGCCAGGTAATGTGATAACGCTCCACACTGAAAGTGCAGCGTCATCTTGCATTAGGTAAACTACGCGACAACGAAAAGCGGCATCTGGGGGCTTACAAAGGCGTTGAGCGTCGAAGGACGCAAGTACAAGATCGCGATCAACGCGATTGCTGCAGTCGCCGGCACGTCACTCACCCAGTCCGGTAAGCTTTCTCCCGTCTTTACATTCCACGCGTCGTTCCAACTGCATTGCCAACATGTCCGCGGCATTTTCATTCCTCTCTGGTCACCAGTCATGCCCGACGATGTGTACCTCCGACTCAAGCCCGAGTACACGGCGCCGATCGTCGTGTATTTGTGCCATGCCTCGAGCAGTGAAAACGGCGGCGTGTTCGAGACGGGAGGGGCATGGGTCGGCAAGTTGCGGCTGCAGCGGTCGCAAGGCGCGGGGTTTCCGTTGGTCGTGACCCCCGAAGTCGTGGCCGCTGCGTGGGACCAAGTCGTCGACTTTTCCGCCCCAGCGTACCCCGCATCGACCCAGGTGCGCCGCAGCTCTCTGCCTGGCGGTGTCGTCGCTTGTTGCTGTCCTCTGTCGTCGGCAAAATATCGCTGACTGACGCATCGTTTCCTTGACATGGACGTAGGAATCGTTTGAGCCGATGCTGCACAACGTAAACCATCCTCCGGAGGCGCTGCACACGCCGCAATCGAAAGCGGTCGTCGCAGTGTTTCATCGACTGCGGCAGACACTCGCCAAGCTCACGACGCCACTGCGTCCGTCAGGGGGCCACTTGCAGTGGACGATAGGAACCGCCACGTATTCGCTGTCCCTCGCGACGAACGAAGTGGTCGTTGTCGACGACTCCAATGCTGCGGCAACGACGGCCGACCTGACTCTTGAAACGACCGAACACGACTTTCTCGACCTTGTCGCGGGCACGCTGCGTTTACAGCAGGTGCGTCGTACCGGCGTGAATGCGATCGACATCATCGTGTTGGCTGCGATGGCAGGCGCTCGCGGGCAACAAGCTCAAGATGCGAGGCGACATGAAGCTGGCCATGCGGCTGCAACCGCTGCTCAAGCTATTTCAAGGCTCAGCAACATCCAAGTTGTAATTGACAGAGTCGTCGTGATCCATATACAACAATCGCATGGCCGTCACAATATGACAGTGGTGCAGCGAGATCGATTCGGTTTTGTCGCAGCAGATTGTCTGCGTCGAAACTGCAGTCCATCTCTCCACCAAAGCGGTGAAGCACGGTCGCATCGAACGCCCAAGGCGTGACACTTGAGATGCCCACACTTGCCCTGCACCTACATACAATTGCAGTCGTGCACCCATGCGCCGCAATCGCGATGTCGCTGTCGAATTCTTTCTCATTCATCGCACTGCCGTCATGGCTTTCCCTCGTTTGGGTGTGGAATAATGAAATGCGCACACTGAAATCTTCATTAAGTCTTTAAACCAGTTGCTGAGTCTTCCACGATTGGACAAAGTTGAAAACTATTTGACAAGGACACTGCAGAAGACACTTCGAAACATATGAGCCAGGGTGAGAAAAATTAGCAACCTCGAAAATTGTCAGTTACGTTTACTTGACTCAAAACGGTGTGGATTCCAAAGTGATCGTGAAACTGATCAAATGCACCACGTCTGATCAAAAGCAAACAATTCAACAAATCCAAATGGAAGCTTTATTACGTTAGCTGAAACGGAGCCGTCCTGCACGGTTGTGGTCCAAGGCCAGTCTTTCTTGGCGATTCAAACGATAGCGGCGTTGAGTCTCAGCACGCTTGCGTTTCTTGTCGGTCGCCATTCGCTCGTAGCGCGCCATAACGTACTCGTAGAACGTCTCGTCTTCGTAGCGGAGCGGCATCAGCGACAAATGAAAGTTCGTCAATGCAAACGCCGTACGTTGGATGATATCGTAGTTCTTCTCAGACCACGAAAACGTAGCGTAGGTGATCTTCCACGTTTTATTGCGCGGCCACCGCACATCGACACCGGGAAGCGGCATGCAAGATCTCAACAACTACAGCAGCTATTTCGATGCAGACTTACAGGTTCATCCTTTTCATCGCTAGAGATAACGTTGGAATGATTTTCGCGAGCTAATAGTAAGTCTTTAAACCAGTT